GATGGGGATGCCCATTACTGCTCGCACTCAGAAGTAAAGGAATTCACCCAGAAAGGCATGTGGTTTGCTGGTGTCTGCCTGGCTCCGTATCCCATGGGTGAGGTGTGCATGTTGGGGGAGGGGAACATCTGGGAACCGGGACTCAGCACTTGGACCAAGCTGCCTGTCCTCTCTGGGCTAAACTGAGGGCCTGCCCTGCTCAGGCCAGGGGTTGCTGTGGCAGGCCAGTTTGCTGCCTCTCACCAGGGAGGGTTTAGGTCGTGGCCACGTGTGGGGCCCATGCTTTTTAACTCACTGCTGTGTAAATGCACCCTGGCCACAGCTCACTGATGCTCTTCCCATTTTAAACAATTTTTTTTCTCCGTTTAATTTAGGATATTTCCCTTGCTACATCTTCAAATTTACTAATGTTTTCTTCTGCAGTGTCTCCTGTGCTGTGGACTCCATCTTGGATGTGTCCTCTACACACATTGTAGTTTTGTTTCTAGAAAACAGATGTGGGTCTTTTTTTGGTCTTCATGTCCCTACTTAACTTTTGAATGTACAAAGTACAATTCTAATAATATTTTTGTGTTGTTATGTGCCATCGAGTCAGACCTGACTCACAGCAACCCCTCCTTGGGTTTCCAAGGCGGTATCACTATGGAAGTAGATTGCCCAACCTTCCTTCCGAGGAGTGGCTGAATAATATTTTTAATATTCTAATAATATGTTTTAGTATTCTTGTCTGTTAATGAATGAACGCATCCATCTGGGAAGAAGTGCAGCCTGACTGGTCCTTAGAGGTGATGACGATGAGCCTTCATCTCACTTACTTTGGGCATGTAACTAGGAGGGACCAGTCCCTGGAGGACATCATGCTGGGTGAAGTGGAGGATCAGTGAAAAAGGCAGAGACCCTCAAGGAGACGGACGGACAGTGGCTGCAACAATGGGCTCGAGCATAACAACGCTTGAGAGGCTGGTGCAGGGCCAGGTTTTGCTCTGTTGTGTGTGGCGTCGCTATGGGTCGGAGTGACTTGAGGGCGCCTGACAGCTGTGAATTATGACACCTGCATCAGCTCTAGGCTGGTTTTGATTGCCTTTTATCCTTGTTAGGGACCACACATCCCTGCTTCTTTGCGCGCCTGGAAAGTTTCGTTCACAGACATTTTCCTCACTAGGTGATGGATACTTTCGTATTTTTATAAACATTACTGAGCTTTGTTCTACCATGCACCTAAGAGTCTTAGGAGCAGTTTGATTCTTTTGGGTCTTGCTCTAGGATTTGTTAGGCAGGACAAGAACAATGTTTAGTTGAGGGCTCATTATTCCCAATGAGATTCTTGGTAAAGTGCACAACATATTTGACTTTCAAATAAACAGCTGATGAGTCACAAGCAGGATAAGGGTGTTCCTTGCAATGTTTGGGACATACCCTTAAGTGTTGTTATTTTATCAGAAATTCCAATAACTGGGCCTCCTCTTCATATGTGTTAAATCTGGCAACAGTATTAGTATTGACCAGTGATATGCAGATAATACACTAGTACTTGCTGTTAAGTGAAGAAGACTTGAAGCACTTACTGCTGAAGATCAAAGGCTGTAACTGTCAGTATGGATTACACCTCAACATAAAGAAAACAAAAACTCTCACAACTGGACCAATAAGCAACATCACGATAAATAGAGAAAAGATTGAAGTTGTCAAGGATTTCACGTTACCTGGATCCACAATCAATGCCCATGGAAGTAGCAATCAAGAAATCAAAAGACAGTTAAAGAGCAAAGATGTCACTTTGACTAAAGAGCACCTGACCCAAACCATGCTATTTCCAATTGCCTCATGTATGTGTGAAAGCTGGACAATAAATAAGGAAGACTGCAGAAGATTTGATGCATTTGAGTTATGGTGTAGGTGAACAGTATTAAATGTACCATGGACTGTCAGAAGAATAAACAAATCTGTCCTGAAAGTACAGCCAGAATGCTCCTTGGAAGTGAGAAGGGCCATACTTTGTCTCTCATACTTTGGTCATGTTGTCAGAAGGGACCATTCCCTAGAGAAAGGCATTATGCTTGGTAAAGGGGAGGCTCAGCACAAAACAGGAAGCCGCTTTGCAACATTTTTTTTCAACAGCGCCACCAACATTAGTCCTGAGGCCAGATTTTCTGAGTGTTCTACCTACTGGCCCATGAGTTATGAGGTTGTCCAGTCTGGCTGGTGGCGACGGGCCCAGGGCACTTTTGATACCTTCAAATGGTTCTTGTCCAGTTTGGGGTTGTTTCTTCACAGATATGTGCTGATCAGTACTCCGCTGACTCCTTGAAGGTCTTCTGTCCGTCGGTACTGTTCTCTGTGCAGTTCTTTCTCCCACTCTGTCCTGCAAACTCACTCCAGCTGCCTGGTCCTCCCAGACTCTCAGCTCTGATCCTCAAGCCTGTGAGGCTGCCAGGAGCCACTTGGGTCCCCCTCTCAGCAGGCAGTAAACTCACCTCTTTTGTTTCCTGTCAAGCAGGAGTGTTGTCCTTTGTAGTCTAAAGCTGTTGTCTTGAAAACCACTGTTTCCTATGTCTTGCTTTCTATCAATCAATCAAACATCCATGTCTCTACCATCTATCAATCTACCACCTATCTATCATCTATCTTCTGGTTGTTTTGAGCAGGAGGGAAATCCCATCCCTGTTACTCCATCTTGGCCAGAAGCAGGGGTCAGCATCACCTTTTTTAACAAGAAAAGTGATGCTGTTGTTTAATATCAGCTTCTCTGAGATGTCACTCACAGACCACAACCTTCCCTTTTAAAGGGCACAGTTGGGGGTGGGTTTTCGTATTCTCAGAGTTGTGCACCCATCACCTCTAATGAATTTTCCAGTACTTTCATCACCTCATAAAGAAATCCTGTACCCATTAGCAGTCACTCCCCCCACCCCAACCCCCGACAACCACTAATCTACTTTGTCTCTATGGATATGCCTGTTCTGGACTTTCACATGAACAGAATCACATAATACGTGCCTTTGTGTCTGGCTTCTTTCACTTACTGTGTGTTTTCCAGGCTCATCCATGTTGTAGTGTCTATCAGAACTTCATTCCTTCTTAGGACCAAACAAAAGAACCTTTGTGTGGATACATCACAGTGTGTTTATCCATCCATAAGCTGGTGGACATTGGGGTGCGTTTCCCCCTTTGGGTTGCTGTGAGGAATCTGCTGTGAACAGTCATGTGCAAGATTTTTTGTGTGGGCATGTTTGTTTTCAGTGCTCCTGGATGTAGATCCAGTTGTCCCAGCATCAAGTGTTGAAGAGACCATTCCTTCCCTATTGATTTGTCTTGGCATCCTTGTTGGCAATGAGCTGGTCTGGTCCCTCAATTCTATTCCATTAATTCATGTCTATGGTTTTGCCAGTGCCACACTGTCTTGAGTACTATAGCTTTGCAGTAAGTTTTCAAATCAGGAAGTGTGAGTCCTCCAGCTGGTTTTTTTTTTTTTTTTTTTCTGTTTCAAAGGTTATTCTTGATTCCTTGCATTTCTGAATGAACTTTAGGATCTGTTTATCAATTTCTGCCAATTCCCCGCCCCCCCAAAAAAAGGAATCTGGGCATTTGAAAGGGATTGGGTTGAATATGTAGATCAACCTGGGTGCACCATTCTCTTAACAACATCAGATCTTCTGTTCCTTGCACATGAAGTGTTTTGACATTGACTTAGATCTCTAATTTTTTTCCAACAATATTTTGTAGTTTTTAGTGTAGGCTTGCTGCAGTTCCTTGGCTAAGTGCATTTCTGTTTTTTTCTTTTTGATGTTATAATAAGTGGATTATTTTCATTTCATTCTTGGATTGTTTTTTGCTAGTGTATAAACTCTGGTGGTGTAGTGGATAAGGCATATGGTTGCTAACCAGAAGGTCAGCGGTTCAAACCCACCTGCCGCTCTGCCGAAGGAAGATGGGGCCAACTACTTCCAGAAAAATTTACACCCTCGCAAACCCAGTGGGGGTCGCTATGAGTCGGAATTGACTCGATGGCAGTAAATTTGTGTTTTTGGAAACTACAGCTGGCTTTTGCATGTTGATCCCACAGCCTTGCTGAAGTCATAGGCTAGTAGCATGAGCAGCTAGTAGCATGAGTATCTGCATTCCTTTGAGTCCCCACCCGCAAGATCGTACCTGGAAAGAGGGATTTACTTCGTTCTCTTCGTTTTTGCCGAACGGCCCAGACTAGAACCTCCAGTCGTGTGGAACAGAAGTGGGAGAGGATGGCCTCGTAGGGGTGGGACGCTCCCCTTGACCCTCCCTGACCTTCCTTCAGTCCAGCACCAGGGGCTCCTCCAGGTGGGGACGCTGCGCCCTGCAGGGCACAGGGACCAGGCTGGGCAGCGAGGACTGGAGTGGACTGTGTGAGGTGGGTCCCACCACCATGTGGCCAGGAAGGCCCCACCACTGCCCCTCCACAGATGGGGACGCGAAGGCAGGAGAGGACAAGCAACTCGCCCTAGGCGGCCCCAGTGCGGGCCCATGCGGTCAAGGGAGGTCTCGGTGAGAACCAGGTGGGGTCCAAGTGGATGACAGGGTCCTAGTGCGGCCGCCGGGGACTGGGCGAGGCTGCCGCGGTCGGGCTCGGGGCAGCGAGCGGAAAGCGCAGAGCTCACTAGCCTCACAGGGCCGGTTAACGAGCGCCGAGCACCACGCCAACGCCCCGCGTCCGGACGGCTCAGGCCACGCCCCCGCCGTCGCGCCTCCGCCCTCCCGCCCCGCGGCCTGCCGGGACATATAGTCCGGTGCGTCTCAGAACCAGGGACTCCAAGTCCTAGAGAGCCCCTCTGCAGGCCTGCGCGCCACGCCCACCCCGCAGCCTGCGGGACTTGTAGTCCAGTGCGCGCGGCGCCGAGGTACGGGCTGAGCGGCGGGACTAGGTTTCCCAAAGAGCTTCGCGCCGGGTCACGACGCCGTCTCCGTCGCCCCTGCCGTCGTCTCTGTCGCCACTGCCGCTGTCTCCGTCGGGCTTTCTCCAGCGCCGCTGCCGCCGCGGCTTCGCGACCTGCGAGGCGGGTTCCCCGCGATCAGAGGCTGCGGGTGGGGCCTCCGCGGGCACTGTGGAGCGGGCCGGGGGAGGCCGGGATGGAGCCCCCCGGAGGTGGGCCGCTGCCGGGCCGCGCCGGGGCGGTTGGGAGGACGGGGGCCCGGGGCGCGGGACGGCCGGGAGGAAGGTCGCCCGGGGCAGGGGACGAATGCCTGACGGCGCGAGCGGCCTGCTGTCCCCGCAGTGGACTGAAGCGGCGGCCGGCCCGGAGCCGAGGCAGATCCCGGCGCCTGCTCGGGCTGCGGACGGATGGTGAGACGGCCGCGGGCGGACATGGCTCACCTCAGGGGATTTGCCAACCAGGTGAGGGGCAGGCGTCAGGATGGTGCACGTGAACGTGCCTGCGTGAGTTTGCGCCCCAAACGAGTGAGTGTGAGTTTGTGTGTGCGCTCCAGCCAAGAATACGTGTGAACGTCTAAGCGTGCGTGCATGGGTGTGCACGCTAGACGAGTGTGTGTGTGCATGGGCAGTTGTGCACACCAGACGGGAGAGTGTGTGTGTGTGTGCGGTGTGTGCCCCGGACGAGACTGTGTGTGTGTGCGGTGTGTGCGTAATGTGTGCCCCAGATGAGAGTGGGTGTGTTCATGTGCGTGGTGTGCGATCCAGACGACAGTGTGTGTGTGTACGAGGTGTGCTCAGAGAGAGTGCACACCTGTGTGTGCATGGTGTGCGTCCCAGACGAGAGTGAGCAGATGTGTGTGTGCACTCTGGATGAGTGTGTGCGGGCATGTATTTGTGGTGTGCACCCTGGATGAGTGCATGCATTTGTGTGTGCATGTGGTGCGTGCCCAGATGAGAGTGTGTGCATGTGTGTATGTGAGTACACCCTGGACAAGTGTGTGTGTGTGTGAACGTGTGGGGTGCACCCCAGACAAGAGAGCTTGCATATGTGTGCATGAATGTGCCCTGGACGAGAGCGTGTGCATGTGTGGTGTGTGTGCGTCTGTATGCACACGGTGTGTGCCCCAGATGAGTGTGTGTGTGTGTGTGTATGCCCTGGACAAGAGTGTGTGTGTATGCCCTGGATGAACGTGTGTGCACCCCAGACTAGTGCGTGCATGTGGTGTGTGTCTTGGACAAGAGTGCGAGTATATGTGTGTGCGTGGTGTGTGTCACAGATGATAGTGCATGGGTGTGTGCGTGTGGTGTGCACCCCTGGAGAGTGTGTGTGCACCCCAGACAAGTGTGTAAGTGTGTGCTCTAGAAGAGAGTGCATATGTGCACATAGTGTGTGCCCCAGATGAGAGTGTGTGTGTATGGGGGGGTGGATGCACATGGTTTGCATGTGCCCTGGACAAGAGTGTGTGTGTGTGTGCACATGCGTGGTGTGTCCCAGACAAGAGTGCAGGCCTGTGTCTATGTGTGTATGAGGTGTACCCCCAGACAACAGTGTGTGCATGTGTGTGCGTGGTGTGCGTCCCAGATGACAGTGTGTGTGCGTGTGCCCTGGACGAGTGTGTGTGCACGCACCCTAGATGAGTGCATATGCCCTGGATGAGTGTGCCTGTGTGTGCATGCAGTGTGTTCCCCTGGACAAGAGTGTGTACATGTATGTGCACATACACCCTGGATGCAAGTGCATGTGTGAGTACACTCTGGGTGAGCATGTGTGTGCATGTGTGCACCCGGCACAAGAGTGCATGTGTGTGTGTGTGCAGTGTGTGGCCCGGATGAGAGCATGCATGGGTACGCTTATGTGTGTGCATGTGGTGTGTGCCCAGCACAAGAGTGCTGTGTGTGTGCATGGAGCTAGCTGTGCCCCAGCCGAGAGAGTGGGCACCCCCACCGAGCACTGATCGCTGAGTCTGACAAGGTGAAAATCCTGGTATATTTTGCATGTGTCACTGAGGGTCTGCCAGACCCCACTTGTTGGTGCAGGGCCCGTCTCACGTCTGCACCGGGACCCCTTTTGTCCACCTGGGATGTGGTCTGGTGTGGGGGTGGCAACCTGGGGGCACGTGGCTTTTGTGCGCAGAAGCTTAGAGGTGCCTGAAAATGGCCTGGGAGGCGCTGCAGTTCCAAGGGAGCACTGGAGGAGTGTTCTGTCTGGGGACAGGTGCTGCCCTCACGCTGGCCGGGGCTCCTGTGGGAAACTGGCTCTCAGCAGCAGAGGGAAGTCAGAGGTCGGGGTCTGCTTGGGGTCTGGGCTGGGCCTGCGGTCCTCCGGCCGTGCTGGGCTGCGTGCTGTGGGGTCTGACCAGTGCCGGCGGCATTTGTGCAGGGAGAGCCTGGCAGCACCTGAGGTGTGGGGTAGAATAGGAGCTCCTGTGGGAACTGGGGGACGGGGAAGGTGCGTGTCCCCTTGAGGACGTGCTCCTAGGGGAAGCAAAGTGCGGACAGGGCCACTCTGGGCAGAAACGCTTCACAGGGCGGACGCCCTCCTTCGTTTACCGCTCCCGCAAGCCGCCTGTCACCCCCGCCCCCCACAATGTCCTGCCTTCTGCTGCTGGTGTTGAGGAGCCGGGGGTGGGGGGGGACGACCAGCTGGGTGAGGGGACAGTGGGGAGTGAGGCCACGGTGGCTGCCCCGTCCCCTTCACCCCTGCCACTTGGTTCTGTCCTTGATGCATCGGCTCTGGGTGTGCTGTCATGGCTGCGTCTGTCCGCCACACGCGCTGGGCTGGGGGCGCTGGCTCTCTGTGCGGGGTGGAGCTTGGGTCTGAGCTCAGCTTTCTGCACGAAGCGTCCGGGCGGGGCATCCTGAGTAGCAGCAGGGCCCGGTGGAAGCTGGGGTGCGGCGGATGCTGTGGCGGGCTGGCAGAGCTAGGGTGGGTGGTTGGCACTGTGGCAGACCGCCTGATGCAGCTGCACTTGGAGGGTAACCTGCGTGCCACGGTAGGTAGCAGGAGAGTCGTGTCCTCGGAGTGAGAGGGGCTGTGAGCTCAGGCTGTCAGCCAGACTTCTGAGTCACTCGGGCTGTGTGGGTGTTTCAGCACGAGGTTCCTGAGTGGGCCTGTACCCAGGCACTTTCCCACAGGTGGCCGGCACTTTTTAAGTGTGAGGACCAGGTTTCCCCGGGGCGCCGGAGTTTTCTGTGGGGTGCTCCTGTGGGGTGTGGCTGGGGCGCATCTGACTGTGGGGAGCCCCTTGCTAAGGGGTAGAGGGACTGAGGCTGAATCTGCACAAGACGGCAGCTGCCATGGGGCAGCAGAGACCCCTTCTCGTGCTGTGCTCTCCTCCTGGCGTCCCTGTCCCTGTGTGGCAAGTGGTGGGTGGTGCCCAGTGCTTTCTGAGCGGAGAGCGGCCGGAGGTTTGCTGACAGGAAGGAGCTTGGGGAGGCCTGGGGCTCCCCTGGGGTGGTGTTGGTTGGCCGTGGAGCTGCCCTGACGGGCCCTCCCTCCGGCCCCGCGCAGCACTCCCGCGTGGACCCCGAGGAGCTCTTCACCAAGCTGGACCGCATTGGGAAGGGCTCCTTCGGGGAGGTGTACAAGGGCATTGACAACCGCTCCAAGGAGGTGGTAGCCATCAAGATCATTGACCTGGAGGAGGCCGAGGACGAGATTGAGGACATCCAGCAGGAGATCACCGTGCTCAGCCAGTGCGACAGCCCCTACATCACCCGCTACTTTGGCTCCTACCTGAAGGTCTTCTGGGCAGCAGGAGTGGGGGCGTGGCGGGAGGGCACGGGGAGGCCTCTTCCTGTTGCGAGTTCCCCGAGCCCTGGCCCTCACTGCCCGGCGGCACCCACGGCGGTGCAGGCGCTGACGGCGCTGCTCTTGTCACCAGAGCACCAAGCTGTGGATCATCATGGAGTACCTGGGCGGCGGCTCGGCACTGGACCTGGTGAGCTGGGCACCCTGAGCCCCCAGGCCCGTGGGTGGGGGGGGGGGGGCAAGGCCCTGTGTCACGTCTCCCCCTCAGCTCAAGCCGGGACCCCTGGAGGAGACCTACATTGCGACCATCCTGCGAGAGATCCTGAAGGGCCTGGACTACCTGCACTCAGAACGCAAGATCCACCGCGACATCAAAGGTCTCGGCCGGGGCTCACCCTGCGCCCCAGCCTCGGCTCCCCGTGTCCTCAGAAACCAAGCCTGCAGTCTGGCTTAGTTCTGACAGTAGGGACGGAGCCTCCTTGGTCTGTGGTCCCTGTCTTACGAGGGACGGTCCCGCTGTGGGGGTGGCACATGCTCCTGGACCCGAGCACGGGGGGTGGCTTCAGGGGCCGTCAGCTGCCCTGGGCCGCCGAGCACTCTAGGGACTGTGTGCTCACAGCGCTCGTCAGCTGGGGGCTGTCGCGCTTGCTGGGCTGGTGGCGGCCCCGGCTGAGGCTGCCCTGTCTGGCTTTGTTGTGCAGCTGCCAACGTGCTGCTCTCAGAGCAGGGTGATGTGAAGCTGGCGGACTTCGGGGTGGCGGGGCAGCTCACTGACACACAGATCAAGAGGAACACCTTCGTGGGGACCCCCTTCTGGATGGCACCCGAGGTCATCAAGCAGTCAGCCTATGACTTCAAGGTGGGCGTGGCCAGTGGGCTGGGGCAGGGGCTGGCCGTCAGGGTGCTGCAGGGGCTTTAGGGGTGTGGTGGCATGAGGCTGACTGGGTGCCATTGCAACTGCTTGTCCAGGCTGACATCTGGTCCCTGGGGATCACGGCCATCGAGTTGGCCAAGGGGGAGCCCCCGAACTCTGATCTGCACCCGATGCGCGTCCTGTTCCTGATCCCTAAGAACAGCCCACCCACGCTGGAAGGCCATCACAGCAAACCCTTCAAGGAGTTTGTGGAGGCCTGCCTCAACAAAGACCCCCGATTCGTAAGCCTGCCCCTACAGGAGCCCCTTTCCTGCACGGCTATCTCTGGGGTCGGCAGTGGAAGTTGGGCGGGGGATAACAGCTCAGGGTAGAGTCTGCAGACCCGCCCCTGATTGAGGCCCTTCCTTGAGGTCCCCACACTGTTGGAGGCCCTGTGTCCAGCGTGGGTCATGCCAAAGGCTCAGGTCTTAAGTGGGCAGGGCACTTGCTCATGTGGGAGGTCTGGCTCTGGCTGCATCTGCCCCTGGGGGTGGTGGCAGTGACGGCCCGTCCCCTGCAGAGGCACTCTGCCCGGGCGGCATGGCCCTCGTCCAGTGTCCCCGGGGGTGGTGGCAGTGATGGCCTGTCCCCTCAAAGAGGCCCCCTGCCTGGGAGGCATGGCCCTGGTCCTGTGTCCCCGGGGATGGTGGCAGTGACGGCCCGTCCCCTGCAGAGGCCCACTGCCCGGGAGTTGTTGAAGCACAAGTTCATTGCCCGATACACCAAGAAGACCTCTTTTCTGACTGAGCTCATTGACCGTTACAAGCGCTGGAAATCTGAGGGCCATGGCGAGGAGTCTAGCTCGGAGGACTCTGACATGTGTGTCCCTGAGGCACTGCTGAGGGTGGGCATTGGGTGCTGGGGTGGGGCTGGTGTCCCCTAGGCCCGAGGACAGGATCCGTGCAACACTCTCTCGTGTCTGCTGCCTGAACCGGCTGCATCCGGTGTGGCTGTGGGAACAGCTGAGGGGTGCTGTGGGGGATGGAGGAGGGGGCACTGAGGGGGATGGTGGGGGGCCCTGGGGATGGCATAGAGGCTCCCTGAGGGTCGGCTCCCCATGGTGGCCATAACTCCTTGTCCTCAGTGATGGTGATGCAGAGGATGGGGACCAGGGCCCCATCTGGACATTCCCCCCAACCATCCGTCCAAGCCCCCACAGCAAGCTGCACAAAGGGTCCGCTCTGCACGGCTCCCAGAAGGTCGGTCTCCTGCCATGTGGGGGGGGCAGGGACAGGAGGGGCAGCAGTGTGGGGGGACAGGGCTTCCCTCGTCTCTTCCTCTGGCACCCCTGGCCGTCCCAGCTCCCCATGAACGGGATCTCAGTGTGGTGCTGAGCCCAGCCAGAGGGCCATGCTAAGGCCTGGCTGGGCCGTAGGGCTGCCTTGGGAGGCAGGGAGGCTGGACCCTGGGGAAGGTCAGGGCCGCTGTGCTGTGGTCTGGAGGGGCGGGGCCAGCTCACGCTCCTGTCCCTACAGTCAGTGGAGCCAGTCCAGCGGCAGCCGAGGTCCCAGAGCCTGACCACGCTGGTCCGGCCTGTCTTCGGAGAGGTGAGGGAGGGCAGGGTCCTACGGGGCTGGGGAACCAGCCAGGTGGGCACACAAGGGTCCCTTGTTTGGACTCTGGCTGTGTTGCCGCTTGGCACAAGAGGGGTTGGGCCCAGGCCCAGGGGCTGAAGGGTGGCTGCTGGCTGTGTGGCAGCATCTGGGCCTCTGCTGCTCAGAGGGTGTGACAGCCTGGCGGAAATATGCCACCTGAGCCCCTGCCCGGAGAAGGGCAGTGGCCCCCGGGGGGCTCGGCTGGCTGGTGCAGAGAGCCTCCGGTGGCCTTGTGGGCACCTGGGGGATGCAGTGGGACCTGGAGGCGCTCAGTGCAGACACCTGGAGCTCAGAAAGGACACGGGCCGGGGCGGGGAGGGGGTGCAGAGTGTGGTAGCGGAGGGCTTCAGGGGCTGGTCTACCCCTTGACAGACGTGTTGGGGGCAGGGCTGGTGGCGGTTTGTGTGTCACTGCTCTCTGTGGTGCTGCTGGCCACGAGACTGTCCCCCGCACGCCCTATGGTTGGTAGACTATGTGTGAGGAAGACCAGGGGAGAGGCCTGGCCTTCGCCTGGCCTAGGTCCAGCCTGGGGGCTCTGATCTCGTCAGCTCGTGCTGGCGGAGAGCCCCGAGGGTTTGGAAGACAGTGGCAGGGTAGCGTCATGGTCGGGGAGAGCTGCGTGAACCTACCTACCTTCCCACCCCTCTTTGGAGGTGAGCTCACTGGCTGCTGTGTCCTCACCCTGGGCCCTGTGAGCCCCTTGGTGGCCAGCTGTTTCCAGGGGGTGGGTCCAGGGTGGTCAGCAGAGGTCAGTGGCCCATGTTTCCACAGCTCAAGGAGAAGCACAGGCAGACGGATGGGCGGGCAGGGGCCCTGGAGGAGCTGGAGAACGCCTTCAGCCTGGCCGAGGAGTCGTGTCCCGGCATCTCAGACAAGCTGGTAGCCCACCTGGTGGAGCGCGTGCAGAGGTGAGCCCGGCCATGGAGCCTCACCCACTGGTGGGGGAGAAAGCACCGTCTTCTCTCTGAGGAGAAGGCTGTCACCTCCTTTCCTTATGGATGGTGGGGATGGTCCTTTTCAGGTAGGACCACCCTGGTGGCCTGCCTACCTCCAGGAGGACACAAATGCTGTCCTGTCCTAACAGCTGTGGTGAGGGGACAGCCCTGGCGTGGGCAGCTGATGGCGGGACCTGGACTCGGGTGCAGGGCACTGCCACCACTGTACTGACCCCCCCCCACCCCACTGCAGGTTCTCACATAACAGTAACCACCTGACATCTGCTCGCTGAGGCTGCACTGCTGTGATGGCATGGTGCCCCTCTGACACTGAGGACAGTGTGCTGGAGCCACCCCCCCCCAAATAGTCCAGCCCCACGCCCCTGGCCGCCCCTCCAGCCCCTCACCCCGGCCCTCTGAGCAGCAGTGGAGGGTGGAGACGGGGCAGTGTACACGTGAGTGAGTGACCCTGGGAGGAGGCTCTGAGTCCCCTGCTCCCTTTGGGCGGGGCCTGTCCCCTCTTGAGCGCCCTGGGCTCGGGAACCTGGCACCTCTGGGCCGTTGGGGCTGAGGGCCAGAGGCCCAGGCAGGCCAGGCCTGCACTCCTGCCGCAGGTGGGCTAGGGTGGGCTGGAGGGCCCAGTCCCCGCCTTGCCCGGGGCCTGCTGTGTGGCTCTGATGGTCCAGGCGCCGTGGGGCTGGTGTGAGGCCCCAGCGCCCTGCTCATTGCGTGTCCTCACAGCGCTGTCTTTTTTTTTTTTTTTTTTTTGAGAAAATTGAGCTGTCCCCTTTCTAGCCCCAGGTCAAGCTGTTAGTTTGATAGGACACTGAACAGTCCTGCCACCTTCAATAAAGACGTGAACTGGAGCTGGCGGTCTGGGGCTGTGTCTAGTGCGGGCTGCTAACCCTCACTCGCCATCCTGACTTGTGTGGCACTTCAGGGGGTGCAGTCTGAAAGGAGGGCACCACGCTGGCCTGTGGGACATGTTTATTTTTAACTGCACACGTTAGCTCCATGGGGGGCTGTGACTGTGGCTTGTTAAAGCAGCTGGGGTGCTAGTAATGAGAGGTGTCCACTGTCCTGGCCAGGGGCTTTGGAATCCCCTCTCCAGGGCTGTGTGAGCTGTACAACCTACTGGCTTCCTGTCAGACTTAGGTGGCTGGTGATGGCCATAGTCGTGTCCCTGGTGGCCTGCTGCCCCTGTGCCCACCCTGGCCAAGCTCAGCTGATCCAGGAACCCAGGAGCACCTGCCTGTCCTTGCTGGTGGGTGTGGGGTGTCCTGGTCAGCAGCCTCAAGAAGAGGTCAGGTGAGGGCTGAGCTGGCCCTGCATGTCCCACGCCAGCCTGGCTCTGCAGATAAGCTGAGGGGCCATGTCTGCTCCTTGGAGTCACTGGTATGGATGGGACACTGCGTGGAGGTCGCTGGTGATGGGCTGAGGGGACCGTTGGGGATATGGGGCCAGCAGGTGTCCCCATCCCCTGCCCTGGAGACACACGTGCCACCCAGGTTCAGCTCTTCGGTGACTGCTGCTCTGTGTCCTCCGTGGGGTGGTCTCGTCTGCCGCCTTCACCACTGGCTGCCTGGCCGACCTTCACTCCTCTTGCCTCTGGGTGGTGGCCCTGTGCAGGGCCCAGGCCATAGGGGGCCCTCCCAGGTGTGCTGCTGGCCCTTGTAATCACCTCCATCCACCTGGAGGAGAGGGTGTCGATACCCACCAACAAAGTGGCTCACCCTCGGGCTGGAAGCCAAAAAATCACCCCAAGAGGGATCCAGAATGTGGGTGCAGGAGACCGCGGGGTGCTGCCAGGACCTACCTTTCAAATGTGTACTTGCTCTCTGCACGGAAAAAGTAGATGTGTGACTTGAATTGGAGCTTGAAGACATGGTCCTTGTGGACGCCGTCAGCCGGCCCAGGGACGCTCACGCTGTAACCCAGCAGTGGGAGGCTGGCCAGTGGGTAGTCGTCCTGCAGGACAGAGAGTACAGTGATCCGCAGGGCTAGGGTGCAGGCTGTCCTGAGCCCTGCCTCCCTGGGTGCCCACAGGGTGGCAGCGGGCAGCGGGGCTGCCCAGGGGCCAGCTGGAGTGGCCTCTGGCATCCTCGGCGGTGCCGGCCGGGAAGTCACCTCACCTGATGCGTCTTGTAGAAGAACAAGCAGAAGTTGGTGAAGACCACCCAGAGCTTCTGCCAGCCGCTGCTGTTCTTGAACTTTCTCAGCAGGTACCCAGAAAGCTGGTTCTGCCGGGAAGAGGGGCGACAGCACGGGCCTCAGCCTGCGCCCCCTGGAGAGCTACCCATGCCTGTCCCCACCCCTGGCAGCTGGCCTGGGCTAAGGGATACTGAGCCGCCTGATGGGAGTTAACAACACAGACTAGGCTAAGCCCTCTCGCAGGCATGTCGTCTATGTTGATGGTCCCCACACTGACCCTCAGCAGGGGAGGGAGGACATGTGAACGCAGGAGTAGAACACCCCTTCCCCAGGGCGCCAGTGCCCCTCTGACAGAGGCTGGAAGAGTGCAGGGCAAGTGGCTCCAGGACAGGTGGGCCTGTCCCTCGTGTCCTCTGTGCTTCCAGATCTGCCAAGCAGCACAGTGACTCAGATAGAAGCAGACACACCACAGGGAGGGTCCCGGGGGCAGCACAAGGCCCAGGGCCCTGGGGCTCAGAGCATTGCTTGGCTTGCAGAGGCATGGCTGCAGCTGAGGCCTTGTCAGACCACAAGGGGACAGGTAGGTGGTAGGGCTCCTCTCCAGTGCATCCACCAGGCCATGCCCAGGTATTGGGAGAGGCCGGGCTCTGGCCAGCAGAGAAAGTTCTGGAACTGCCACAGGGTGAGGGCTTGGAGGGAGGGGCCGGGGGCAGCCAAGGCCTCCAGCTGTGAGTGTGGGGGCTGGGCAGCATGGTACCTCAACAGCAGCGCTGAGGTCGGCCCTGGACACACTCGTGCTGCGGCACCAGCACACGTGCAGTGTGGTGTTGGCGCGGTGCTGGCTCAGCCCCCCCGCAGAGCCTCGGGTACCCTGAGCATCCTCTTCTGACTCCTGCTCCGAGGAGGCCTCATCTGACGGTCCTGCGGGGAGGCATGTGTCACCTCGAGGGGCGGACCCGCCTGGATGCCCCTTTTTGGGGTGCTCTGCAGGGAAGTTCCTTGGGGTGGGCTGAGACTGGCAGAGTGCTGCCAGGGATGGCTTGGTACCTCCATCCACCCCCACCTGGGGTGGCCTGGCTGGTCCAGAGAAGTCCCTTAAGTGGGGCACTCACCAGGGGTGCGAGCCCATGCCGGGCTTGTCGGGAGTGCAGGAGCGGGCCCACCTTGCTTGGCTGCCTCAATGGTGGTGGTGAGGTCACCCAGCCACTTCTCCATCTCCAGGCGGGTGCTGTGGGGGTGGCAGTGGTCGGAGCCTGCTCACAGTCCCCTCCCCCCACCAGGCCTCACTGCCCCTCTGCTGGGTGTCCATGCCCAGAGCAGCACCCAGGAAGGTACGCCATCCGGGCCTGACGTTGTGTGAGCTTTGGGGGGCTAGGGCTGGGACCTGAAGCCTGCCCTGCCAGCTCTGAAGGGCTGTCTGTGAGGCTGTGCCCTTGGGGGCCTGCCAAGGTCGCCCCCCCATGGAGTCTTCTCCCAGCAGCCAGGAGGCCAGCCCACACCCCTGACTGAAGACGGTTCCCTCTGTCCCCTCACTTTTAGGCAGTGCCCAAACTATAAGGGAACATATCCCCCAGGATGCTCTGAGGTATGCTCACCACTTGGGGAACCCGGGGAGCTAGGAGGAGGGCCACCCTGTGGCCCCAGGGCCTGCTCATGCAGAGCGGGGGAGGCCTTACCTGGCTGCCACCACGATTGTTTTCTGGGCTGCGTAGATGGTGAAACAATGAGGGGTTGACCATTCCTTCTCAGTCTCCTCCACCTGCGGGCAGCGGCTGGTTCAGAGTGTGGCCACACCCGTGTGGGGTGCAGCACGGGGTCCCTGGGAGCAGTGCTGGGGCGCTAGGAGGGAGCGCTACGGGAGACATGAGGTGAGCCCCGCTGGAGGCCCCAGTACTCACCGGTGGGTCCAGCACTATCAGCTGAAAGTCAAGCAGAGGAGGAATGCTGAGCGTGATCAGGGTCACATGGGGGTAGGGGGTGGTTGTATAAATTTGGTACCAAACCCAAGTAAGTGTCGCAGACACCCCACCCTGGGACGAACAGCCCACTCCTCGATGGACAGACAGACCCCCGAGTCCGGATGGACAGATTACCCCCTGGACATAGAGACCAACCCAGACAGACCAAACCCCTAGACAGAACAGCCCCCCAGATGGACAGGGCACACCCCTGGATGGACAGACCAACCCAGACAGACCAAACCCCTAGACAGAACAACACCCCAGATGGACAGAGCACACCCCTAGATGGACAGATATGAAGACCAACCCAGACAGACTGGCCTTAATTATAGGGATTTGATGTAGTGACTCCCGAATAAATTATCACAGAATTGACCCTGAAGGAGCATGTGGGTCATGGGTCCACGAGCAAGCCAGGCTGGGCCACTATCGGGAAGCTGAGTAACATGACCAATCTACTGCCAAGTCCAAGGGAAACCGACCGTCCCCAATGTGCCATAACACCTCTGTGATACCCAGTGACTGGAAGTCCCTCAGACAGCGGGAAACCACATCTACATGGTTGAGATCATTGTTCTCCAGCTGGGAGCCACCATCATTCCCTCGAGTCCGCCTAGTGGGTGGCAGAGGGGCCTGGGATGGTCACCTCCAGGGTGGGCACATGGAGCCATGCATGGCTTCATCCCGAACACAGGGTTGACATGAGTGAAGGCAGGGGAGCAGGTCCAGATGGTAGTCCCAGCTAATACACAGTTCAGGCCATTTTAATAGGGATCGGATGACACTTTTGGACAGAGTCCGTCCAAAAGATTCCAGAGTTTATTAGGGAGAATTAAGTGGGAACAGCAAAGGGCCTTCTACAAAGAGGGCCAGGAGCACCCTGCTCACAGCGCTGTGGAGGCATGGTAGGCAGGGGTCTAGAGGGGCCAGGGCTGACCGTGAGATTCTCTGGTGGAGACGCCTTCAAGGGGAACCTGGGGAGGCAATGGTAATCTACCTAAGAGCTGTCAACCCCACCACTCAATTCAGGAGGAAAAGGGAGCCATGAATGGCTTGGGGAAAGGTGTGGGCAAAGCCATGTGTGCCCTAATCCCAGGTCAGGGCCTGGAGGAAGGACAGGCAGACCCGGAGTGTGCAAGAGGGTCAGGCCCACTTGCTCCATAGTGTTCACTGGACACATGCAGGTGCAAGGGAGACAGGGTGCCTGTGCCCAGACATGTCCATGTCATGTTCTAACCCCGAACGACCAACGTGGCCCGTGTCCTCTGATGGAACTGCCTCCAGGATCCTGTCCGCCCACCCACAGAAAGCTGCAGCACAGGGGACCTGGGGGGAGGTACCAGCACACTAAGTACGCAGAAGGTGCAGGGAGGAGGAGCCTGTGGAAGGTGTGCTGATGGTGGGAGTGGGTGCCCGTGGTGCCGAGCGCAGCTGCGACGACGGGGGTGGACGCCTGCGGCCCCGAGTGCAGCTGTGACGACGGAGTGGGTACGTGCAGTGCTGGGCACAGCTGGTGAAGGCGCCTGCCTGGTGCTTGCTCTCGGGTAGGAACAGTGATCAGATTTGCACTGTTGGGTTTCTCTTAGAATGGAAGGGCTCTGCGTCCAGGACTCAGATGAGGGTGCTAGCTGGCTGGGAGACCCAACCACGAACGGAGCATGGAGAGCCTGCCTGATGGCTCTGCTCCCACCTACCAGCCGGAGACCGAGGGACTGGCCTGAATGGAGGAGGGTGAGGCAAGAGGAAGAGAGCCCGGGGTGACTAAAGTGGCCTCGTCCAGATGCAAGACCAACCAAGTGGGCAGAGCCAGGGCTGATCAGAACCCTTGCACATGGATGCCAGCAGGAGGGTCAGCGATAGGTCATCTGGATGGTGGCAGGTGGTCCCAGCAGGGACCCCGGCCTCCTATCTACTGTTCAGGACGCATGCCCAGGTGGATGCAGGGTGCGTGCTCCCAGCCTGGACGGCTGTAAGACCTCAGATGGCCCCTTGATAGGTTACCATGCCATGAGATGATGAGTTTCTCTCCCCAGAGACGACATAGACTTGTCACTGGAGTGACTGCACTGAATGGGCACAGTCTACCAGGACCACCCCTGTGTGCACTGGGAAACCCTCTATCCAGCCACTGGGTGGAAACAAGAGATGGTCTCCTGCTGCCGGGCTGAGACAGGACAGGAGCCCTGTTGCATGCCCCAGGTCTCCACAGCCTCCGTGCTCTACAGCCTCCGTGCACCCCACAGCCTCCGTGCACCCCACAGCCTCACTGGTGGCATCCCATTTGTGTCACATGTGAAAACCACATGTGCATGCACATGCCTGTTGGATCACTGCCTATAAGGTTATTAGGAACTGAAGTTTTAGAAGAGAAAATTTCTGTATAAAACCAGAGTGAAAGCTCTGAACCTTAAGGGTTCAGGGGTCACTGTTCTCCGTGAAGAAGATGCATTCACAGGTTCTGCCCTCTGGCGAGCTAGCAGCCAGGCTGGGTGCAGCTGAGGCGTGAGGGTCCCCAGCTGGGGTGCATGGGTCCTGTGGGCTGGTCCAGCAGCTGTGGCCTTGGAGCGTGGGTCTTGTGGTCCCGAGTGTGGGGCAGGAAGGACCCAGGAAGCCAGGGGTGCAGTCAGACCAGGGCCGAGTTCAGAGAACCCGGGCCGACCTGGCTGGAGATGGGCAGCTGGACCAGCATGGAGCGTGGCTGGGGTGGACTGGGTCTGAGCCAGCAGGAGGGCCGGCAGGCTGTCCCCGCCTTGGGCCGACTCACCAGCATGCCGCGCAGGGGCAGCAGGCCCCGGATCCGGAAGCAGGTGGTCCCTGTGACGCCTCTGCTGGTGTACAGCAGCACATCTGAGAACTGCAGGGAAGGAAGCCCTGGTTAGTGGACTTTCATACAGGCCCGGGGCCTGCTCGGTGGTCCTCAGACCAGGGGTGGGCTTGCTGGAGAGATTTAGCAGAAAAGGGGTTTTTATTTCATTCCCTCCTTGGTTTTCAATCAGTGGTACCCGGACAGCCACCAGGTGTCCGTGTCTATGATGTGCTTGCTGCCTGGCGGCAAGGAGATGCTCAGCCGCCCTTGCTCAGATCGGCCCAGGCTGGACCTGCTAAAGGTCCAGGGCCCTTATAGTGCCCCTGGGAGGCACCCCACGGGGCTGCGCTTCCTGGGGGGGGGGAGCAGGACCTACCAGGAAGAACATCCGTTGCTGTAGCCCCTTCTTGGTGAGCTCACACAGGCAGCCCTCACGGATAAACTCCTGAAAGACAGCAACGGCAGGGCTGACCACACTCCTAGGCCCCAGACGAGCCCCTTGCCAGCACCCTCCTGGCCAGGTGCTCATACCTCCTGGCCTTGCTCCCTGCCTCCTGCTGAGCACCACCCAAGTCATCACTGAGCACCCAGCTTCCACCCCCAGGCAGCACCCTCAGGCATGCCCCCACCGTGGGTGTTGTGTTACATGAAAGGTGAGGCTATGAAGAAGTTTCTGGAACGTTAGCCATGAAGATGGTATCTGAGTTCTGCTTTGAGATGAATGGGGCAGGGCAGGAACAGGTTTGAGAATGAAGGGAGGGGCAGGGACACTGGTTCCCACTAAGTTAACAGGTCACTGGTGCTACCTATCCCCAAATCACTGGGATTTTTAAGAAGATTCTTAATATCACAAAAGTTTCATATCCCAAAGGAATGAAGCTGCCATGGGTGGCACTGATGCATCCCAGGGCCACAGCCCCCCCCCCCATGGCACCCCTGCAGAGCTGTGAACCTCAGCGTGTTCCTAGGTTCATCCCACTGTGGTACCTGCTACTGGAAGGGCTACCTTCTCAAGAGTTTAGAGTCCTCTCCAATGAGCCACCCTCTCTAGGGACCCCTTTCTGCTCAGACACCAGGGTGGGTCTTCTCTTCATGGACATGCATGTGTAACTTGGGGGACGAGGGACCCTGGGTTGTAGATGGAACTCTGGAGCCCTTTGATTCACTGCTTGCTGAGCCCCACTGTGAACCAGCCCCAGCCTGAGCCCATCACTGGTGTCATCAAGAGGTGGCATGAGCTGCCCAGGCCACAGAGCAGTGAGGGGAAGCTGGAGTCTGAGCATGGGCCCCAGAGCTGAACCTGCACACCGTACATGCTGCACTCGTATAAGGATTCCTCAGGCCACCCCATGACCCTGAGCATACACCTCAGGCACACACCCTGCCCCTGAGCGCTTGCCAGTAGTAGCACTCAGGGCCAGCAGCCAGAGTAGGGTGATGAGGTGGGGCCGCCCTGCACCCGGTCTTAGCAGAACTGCAGGAGAGGGGCCATGCTGAGAGGGAGTCATGCTGAGGGTCTGGTCCAATCTGTCTGGTCTGGAGGTGCTTTGTTCTCAGTACCTTCTCCTAACAAGGCTGGCATTCAGACTCAATTGACACACAGATTTGCACCCATGGTGCTTCTGGAGAGGCAAGAAACACCTCATGCAACCCTCAAAACACTTCTCTCGTGTTCACAGTGTTCAGTTCAAGTAAAAGGCACTGGGTGATGGAAAGTAATCAGCTTGACACACAGAGATAAATGGGATAGAGAGTCCAGAAATAAACCATCCATCCATGGCCAACTGCTTTTGGACAAGGTGCCAAGTCCATCCAGTGGGGAAAGAATAATCTCTTCCACAAATTCTGCTGGGACAACTGTATCGCCACATGCGGAAGAATGAAGTTGGACTCTTACCTCACACCATAAACAGATATTAACTCAAAAAGGATCAAAGACTGAAAAGAGCTAAACATAAAACTCCTAGAAGAAAACATACGTGTAAACTTTGGATCAGACAATGATTCCTTGGATATGACACCTAAAGAACCAGCAACCAAATGAAAAATAGACAAAGTGGCCTTAATCAAAATTAAAAACATCTGTGCTTCAAAGGACACTCAAGAAAGTGAAAAGGGACTTCCAGCAAGAATAGGCAGACAAGCTACACAGATCCACTTCAACAATGAAATGAGAAACCAATTGAAACAGATACAGAAGATAATCCTGGAGCTATGAAATTAGAAAGGAAAGATAAAGAAGTAGATTAAATACCAGCTAGTAGAAGAACTTGCATGAAAACAGTGAATAAGCAGATGAATGGAGCTGCAGACTGTTGGCTATCCTGACAGCAGAGCCAGTTTGAATATTTACAAGTAGTATTGGGATCCAGGCAGTAACCTAAGAATTGGGCTTGCTCACCAATGGCTGCATGGACAACTGCACTGGTGGCTGATGACTAGAAAGGAAAACAGCAAATAAGGAGACAAACTGAGCTCTGGACTTTCAGCTTTCCTGAGGGTGCAGCCACTTTGAATATTTACAAACAGTGTGGACATTTTGGGTATTTGAAAGAAGCTTTCTGATCCCAGCAACTTAGAATAGGCTCTGCTTGCCAGGGACAGCATAGGCAACTGCACTGGAGGCTGACAACAGAAAAGGTGTGATACTCCTCTCTTGTTACTCTTGGTGAACAAAGGTGTGGCCATCCCTCACCTCCACCCACCTTCTGGACTGGGAGGAATTCCATCCTAGTCTCTGTGTCCTGCTCTCCCCCCACCTTTTGTTTTTCAATTATTCTTTTTTTTTTTTTTCCTTCCTTTTCATTATTTTTTTCTTTCTTTTTCCCTTCTGCAAAAACGACAAGGAGGCCACATGTTCTGACCTCCTCTAATCTCACAAGAGGAAGACAGGATTGCCAGCAGTAACCCAAGGCCTATTACTGCAAGGCCAGACATGCTGCCTCCTTCCAGCCCTTTCACCAACCGTTCCTCCCAAAGCACCCACCACCTCTCTCCTGGGTTCGATAATTCACTGCAGTGGCCACACAGACCTCACAGATTATGGGGTTTAT